GAAAGGCGCCCGCTGCCGTGGCCTAGGTTTCTCACTGAAAATCCTCGTCCCCCGACGGCACCTTTTTTTGAATTTTCTTCCTTTTCAACGGCGTTTTTTGGGAATTTCGAATTTTTTTGAATTTTTTCGCAATAATATTCGGAAAATAGATAACTTTTAACACATTTTAATGCAATAAAAAATTTTGGTCGGAGTCCCCCTTTAAAATTATAATTTATTAAATACCAGCAAATTTGAGCACAATTATCTCGAATCCTGTGAGAGGTATAAAAAACGGTCAACTAATAAAATATAGCTGATATTATGTTAAACAATTTATCAGATGATAACTTTTTTGTATCTTTTACAGGAATCGAGATAATTAAGTTCAAAGTGGACGGTTTGGGTGAGCAACTCACAGTCATTGTAATTTTTGTTGCTTCCAAATCGTTGGATAGCCTCTTTGTTACTTGTGGATCTACAAACTGTATAAAATCACTGAAATTAGTCTGAAAATCGAATGCTCTTCGCAGAGAAGTTGAAATTGGAATCAGAAGAATTGCTCCAGATTCCTGAGCAATTGAATAGAGACCCGCGATTTGGAACATTAGATTTCCGAGGCCTGGAATTATGGAAGTGAGATATTCGACCGAGTGAAGGACTAACGAGAAATTTGTCGTCAAATGATTCATGTGCACATTTGGAATCAGTAAAAATTTTGTAGATTGCTTTGCAAAATTGCTGAATCCTAAAATTCTGACTTTCGGAATTCTAGAATTTTCGAATATTGGAATTTCAGAAGTTTGAATCAGAAAATTCGGAAAATCCGTGTTTCAGAAGTTTTTCAATGTGATGAAAAATTATTGAAAATCAGTTTTACTATGACTTGCTCAAAAAATCACAAAATCTAAAATTCAGAAACATAGAAATTTAAAAATTCAAAAATTGCGAAACTCTAAAATAATAATGTTCTAAAATTGTAGAATCCCGGAACTCAGGATTTCAAAAATGCCGAAGATTCGAAATTCGAATATCTGAACTTTCCATATTCGAAAGTTCTAGGATCCCGAAACTCGGATGTTCAAAAATTTCGAAAATTCTAGAATCTCGAAATTCTGAAATTTAAAAATTTGAAAATTCAGAAATTCGTGAATTCAAAAGCTTAGAATTTATAAAATTCTGAAATACTGGAATTCTTAAGATTCCAATCATTCTAAATTCTAGAATTCCAAAATCAAAATGGAAAATTTCGAAATTTTCCAAATTCAAGTATTCTAAAATTCTAAAATTATGGACATCCGAAATTCTGAAATTTTGAAGTTCGAATTTTCGAATTCTAGAATTTCCAGATTTCCGGATTTGGGAATATCAATATTCCCGATTTTCTAATTTCTAAAATACTGAAAATTCTAAAATTCTAAAATTCTAAAATAAACTGTTTCGCAATTTCTACTTTTCAATTTTTTTAAAAACTTTTTGTTTAGTTCTTTTTAAATTCCTGTGAATGTCAGTTTTCTATTTTCTCACCATGACTGTATCCCAAATCCGAGTAAATATATTTCTTTCCGGAATCTTCTAGAGCTTCCACATCAGTTATCACATTTTCCAGTTCTGCAACTGGCCATGGACAATTTTCTAATGACGCTTCGTTTCCTGAAATTTCGAAACGTGAAAAATAGATTTGAACAAAATTCATACCGGATTGATGAAAAACACTCGTTTTCATATGAGCTGTTGGACGATTTGCAGGCAATGTCAAGTGATTTTTTGAGAGATTGAATAGGAAAAGAATGTAGACGCAGACAACAATGAGTATCAGATGGGAAGACGAACGGGTTACTGTGAAAAACAATAGGGATTTCCAGATAAATTCCAGATTTTGAAAGTTTATTGGTCAGCAGAAGAGTAAAATGGTTTTCTTTAACGTCTCTTAAGTTTTTCGGACCGTGTTCAGAAATTGCAAATCGGTTTTCTCAACTGAATGAAGAAAGAATGCTTTAAAGGGGGACTCCGACCAGAAATTTTTATTGCATTTAAATGTGTTAAAATTTACCGTAAAACCTCTAATAGAACGACACCCGGATCGTCCACTTTGAGCTTATATATCTCCCTTCTTTTGAAAGATATCAAAAAGTGGTTAACTAGTGAAATGTTTATCAGGATATCAGGATATATATCTATTTTTCAAATATTATTGCGAAAAAATTCAAA